GAAGATTTAGAATTATTACACTCCGAGACCTAACAAGCTGATATTATATTTGACGACTGCCACCGCTGTATAACAAGAATCTGATTAGAATTTTTCGTTCAGGGATTAACTACATAAAATTTGTTGTGCTTCCCGCGAGCCGAACGCTAATAGGAGAGATAAAAACACCACGGGCGATAGAAATTAGGCACAAATTTCTTCCTTGTTTTGAAAGCGCCGACCGCGGGAGAGCCGTGATTTTAATAAGACCATTAAACAAAATAGCTCGAGACACAAATGGGTAGAAAAGGATTTTGATAATTTATTCTGAATTTTCGGGTCGCTCACTGAGCTTAATGACGGCATATTAAATTAAGCTTACAAAACATAGAGCTCACAGAATATCTGATATATTTCTGTTGAAATTAAAATTTGAATTCTGAGAAAACAAATAATTCTACAAATAAGTTGTAGATAATTTTTTTTTTAATATTATTATTATAAAAAGGTATTATTAATCCATCAGAAATTATTGGTGTTAAAATTTGTATAATTCATTCTTTTTATTAGTTAATGAAATAATATAATTAAAATAACATTTTTAAGCAAAATTGAGCCCTTAAAGAACACATGAAAAAAAATTGTAATCTTCAATATAAATTCAATTACTTTTTGTGTGTATATGTTGAGGTGCTCCAACAATCTTTTTTTCATTTCTGATTAAAACAATGACAGCTTGGAATAAACGCCTATCAGCAGCACCTGTGCCCGTTCACTGCTCACTCTCAACGATCATATTAAAAGTAAAAAGTCCACATTATTAAATTCCATCACGCGAAACCGCAAAAGTTTTTCGCTACAATCTAAAATGTATGTAATTTTGCGAGAGCCGTCAAAGTTCAGAAAGCAATTTTTTTTTTCGCACTCGCCACCACCGATTGAGTCATTAAGTCGATGAGAAACGGAAAGCACTGCTGTGGGATAATTGCGCCGACTGCTCGCATTTTTGCAATTAAGGAAGAGGAATTATTATTGAGCACGAGGCGCTGCTACTTGTCGATAATAATTGCAGCGCGTTAAATGTAGAGACGTCTCTGGTGCAGCGCGCAAAATAACGAGATATAATTATAACGCGGGTTGCAATAATTAACGCCTTAAATTGTTGCAGTGCGCTAAGCATGCGTGCAGCAGCGTGCGGTTCCAGAGATAGGAGCACGTCCAATTAGCTACTTGAAATCATTATATTATACAATTCCGCTTGGAGATTTTTATTGTTGCAAATAATCGGGCATTGGAAAAGGAAATTGCTCATTTAGCTCCGTTTGTGATGTTTTGCTTCACATGAAAACACATACGAATAAAATTCGCAGAATCTTGTCATGGTCAAAATGTGATTTAAATAAAAAAAAAAAATATCGTTTCTTTCATTGGTACAAATTCATAAAAAAACGATAACATAGTATGAGAGTTTATAGTTTCTCTTAGGATCTTTTTTCTATTTAAAGTTAGAATAATTAAATTCTTCTGAACAGCTCAAAAATAGTAAAAACCTAATTAAATTGACAAATTTATGTGAGTAAATAAAGTACTTCAAAACCAATTATGGCAAAAAAAAAATGATATAGTTTTTTTGCAATATTGTTGGAGTCAAATTTGAACCTATAAAGAGTTTGTCAAATTCAGAAAATCAGGCGAAAATATTTACAAAATTTTTCACATCCAAAACTATGAAATCAATTCAGTACTCAAGTATTCTAGGAATAGATTAAGTTTTCTAATATTCAAGGAAAGGAAAGGAGAGAATTCAATAAAATTATTATAAATTGCTACTTTGAAACGTGATGGGAATTGAACCAGAGCTATAAATTAATTTGATCGTATTGACGTCAAAGAGCAATCTTGTTTCTTTCACTGTTGAGTGCCTTCGTATGGTGTTGGAAAAAAAGGCAAACAGCCTTTAATAACCTCGCTTTTAATTTTTACACCGGAGATCGAAATTATTTCTAGATATATTTATATGCAATTCAGCTACTTTCAAAAGAAATTTTTTGGGAAATATAAAAATTACTGAAAAAATTGAAGAAGAAAAAATTGAAGAAGAAAAAATTGAAGAAGAAAAAATTGAATTATTTTCAATTAAGAAGAAAAAAAGATCGCTCTCGCGCGGAGAGTTTAAAAGAAAAGCAGCTCGGTGGCGAGACTAATGCGATCAAGAAGCGCCGGCCCGCATGAGATGCACCGCGTGTTTTTTTACTCTCGTCAGGCACAGAATTTCCGAGTGGATGGCGATTACAGGGAAAAAATTTATAAATTGGGCTGCGATCAAAGCGAGAAGATGCGCGGCCGGCAGCCTTTGTACACATAAAAAGCCAATTTGTGACGACACCGATCGCCGATGCTCCTCATTGTCACTAAATCTGGTCGCAGAGACAATGAGCGGCGGTGCTCACTTTGTCGGACCCCCCAGTTAGCCGCGCACCGATTTTTCGCTACACCAACTTCCGAAAGCAGGAGAGATAAGTATAGTGGTGACTTTGCTAAATTGAAAGAGAAAGAAAGACTGATGGGACGCGGCGGATAATTGATATACAGAGAGGAATTTCGTGGAAATTGATTTTGCCGCAAGAGAGGAAAAGAAATTTCGGGCAAAAAGGCTGTGGAAGGAAAAACTTTCAATTAATTAAATAGCGTATTGCTTCATTCTCTAGGAAGCGTAAAAACTTTAAGAAAAACACATTATCGCAGCACGTTAATTTCAAATAGGGAACAATTTAAATCATATTTATAATGGTTTAAGTAAAAATTATACTTCTAAAGCTTTTCAATCGCTTGTTGCATTAAAAAATTAATCAAAAATCACTACAAAATTAGAGAAAAAATAGTATTACTTTTTTGTAAGATAAAAATTGAATATAAATTTTTGGCACATTTGTGCATTTCTGTAGCATTTTTTTTGATAAAATTACTTCAGGTTTACGTCATTTTCAATTAAAAAAATATTCATGTAATATTTTCTGTACATAGTGATTCCTTTGCTTAAAACACAATTTTGAAAATCATTTTATACTGAATTTAATTTCACTTCAAAATTTTAGAGCTTTTTTTATCAAATCCTTTCACATTTTCCTCAAACGTTTGTAAAATTCTAACTCTTTGATACAATAAGATTTCATGTCGGTGCGTCTCCTTTGTTGTGCTATCTGTGGCGGGCAATAACAATATTCGCCCATGGCCGCAATTATGTCATATAAAAGTGTGACAGTCCCATTACAAGCCATATTTACTGCGGATTAAATTGGAGAGCTATTAAGCCTTTTAACGGCGCCGCTTTAAACGATTAATTTCTTTTTCAAAGTCAAACACAAACTCTGCTTTTTCGAATAATCGTACTAAAAGAATGAAGTTATTAGAAGAGAGGCCGTGAGCAAAAGGAGAAAGAAAGAAAAAGAAAGGGTTGCTCCTCTCGAGAGGTGTGTGTATGTTTGGAGGGGAATATTATTAAGGTAGACGGCTCGCTCACAAAGGTCGGTCGGCTCTCTTTCTTTCGCGTTTGCCGCGGCGCAGCCACCTAAGAAGAGATGAGACAACCATTAGCACCTTCTTTACCTGTAGCCCTGAGGCTTACAACTTGTCGGCATCCTTTGAAGTTGCCCTTCCCACGGCTGATGCCTTTAAATCTCATATATATAATATATCGTGTAAAATACGCTACTCTGCGCGCGGGCAATATATATCCAAAACCGCAGCTACACATACATACACATGACACCCCTGCTTAAGGATCGCTCCCTGATGAGATGAGATAGATATTTTCCTCCAGAAAAAGAATGAAATGAGCTTGTGGAATTTCGATTAACGAGCATTCTACCGCCTTTGATAGATGAAAGAAAAACTAATTAGGGGGTAAGTTATGGGAATGTGCGCATTGACTATATCCAGTCTTATATATTCACATTATATATAAGATCAAGAGAGTGCTTTTTGACGGGCTGAGAATAAGCAACCCTCGTTATTCTATATTGTTGAAGTTGTAAAACAGCAGAAAATATTGTGTGAAATTTCTATTTCACCACTGATTGTGAGGCAAGATATGCTAGAAACATTGAAATACATAAAATAATGTCAAAAAAGATTTATTATATCTTTTTAATTAAATCGTTAGATAGAAAATTACAGCTGCTAGATAATTACAACAATAACAATTTATATGTGAATAGTTTTGATATTTTCTTCTATCTTAAAATTTAAATTTTTGCTGATCCCGCATCATTTACAATTGAAGCATTCTTAAGATTGCAGAATAATCTCAATAAAATTATATGTAGAATCCTTCAACATTATTTATTTTATAATATATTTTTTGTATACATGCTTGTATACTTGCGAGTGTTTAAAATCAAATTATTTTAATAAAATTGTTAGATATCGCTCTGTGCGTCTGCGTTCTTGAGCTATATATATATTATATGCTTTTATATAACAAATAATATAGAGTATGTTGACATAGAACACAGTAAGTATTTCAAATTATATTATGATCATATTTAAAAAATTCTAGTTTTATCATATATTATTGTTTATTTTTTCATTAAAAATTTAATTTTATAATTGATTTTTCAATTTAATTAAAAAAATTATAGATAAATGACACAATTAAAACAATTATTTATATAATTATGAAATCATGTTTAAAAGTAATACTATTTTAATAATTTACAAATAATATTTGTGATCAGTTACGGCTGATCAAATCAAATAAATTCCTAATGAAAACTATACTTTTCTAAGATGTTCTTTTTCAATTGCAATTGTTCTTAATTTATAAACCAATTCTAATTTTCATATAATTTTAAGTTTGGAATTTAATTTCTTTAAAAAAAATGCTGGAAAAATATTAAAATTGGAACAAATATTATTCGTTAGTTAATTCATGTCAAATTGAAATACAATCATAAAAATTTCGGTGATCGATCAAAATGCCCAAATGAAATATTTAAATAATTTAAGAAATCGGTACTCACCACCATCATTACTGCCATTGAAGTCATTGAAAGTCTTGCTGGTCATCTGGAAGAGCGCGTCGAGCGGCGAGTTGTTGTTCTTAGCCGAGGCTGTGGCCGCCGGTCGGCGCTGCTGGTGGTGACCAGAGGAGGTGCCGGACGAAGGCGTCGCCGCCGGGCTGAGGTCCTCGCTGTCGGCAATCGAACTGGAAGAGTCGGCCGATTGCGGCCTCCGGAGGCGGCCGCTGGAGGTGGTGGAGGAGGGCGGCGGCGAGCCGAGGTCCCACGGCCGGACGATGCGACTCGCGGCGTCCTGTTTGCGCGAAGGGTGGTGACTCAGGATGTCCAGGATCGAGAAGGACTTGACGCCCTGCGGCGGCTGCTGTTGCTGCAGACTTTTGGCCGCCGCCTGCAGAAATACAGACGGTGAAAAGGCCGTGGCCGGCGGTGGTGACAATAATTGTTGTTGCTGCTGCTGAAGCCTTTCCTGCTCCAGCTGCATCATTTTGAGTCTTTTCAACGGTTTGAAATAATCATCCTCGTCACAGGAAGAAGAAACAGGGGCCGTTCGGAGATCTTCCTCGGGCCGCGGCGACGGACACCCCACACTAATTTCATCCTCCTCGTCTTCTTCCTCCTCCTCATCTTCAGACAAAGCAGTCTTCGAAACGAACTGCAATTTTTTCCGCCTGTCCGATTCCTCGGCCGTGCTGGGGACTTCGGGGCTGTGCGGCCCCGGGGATGACGAGTTGTCGCTGCTGCAGTTGGGGGTCTGCATCATCATGGGCGAAGTGAAGAGGCGACTCAAGGCTGCGACCCCGGTGAGGTACGAGGGCGGCACCACGTGCAGGCGCATCAATCCTCCAGAGATTTGGCACGGCACAAACACTGACCCGCCGTCGTCGTCGGACAGTCCATGGACGCTTTTGCGAACACTGCAGAGGGCTCGCTCGCTCGCGTGCTGTCACTTGGGCTAACTGGATGTAACAAAACGGCAGCTCGGCGCCTGCCAGACGTGATTAGCGCTGACCCTAGTGGGGCGGCGGGAGGCGGGCTGGGGCGCGGTTTGCGGCAACGGCGCCGCCTCCGACGTCAGCCGCCATTGGAGGCCGCGCTCGCCCCGCCTCCACGGGTGTTCGGTGTGTTCGCCGACACGTACTAATTGGAGAAAAAAAACACATAACTGCCTCTACTTATTATTCGAAAGAAAAATGAACAAGCAAGCGCGGCTCTTTTTTCATCCTATAGGTAAATGAGAGACTTTTTAACCGCCTTAAGTGGATTGATATGCATGTGTCCGTCTTTGGCGAGTTTTATAATAATGTATTTTTGGCCCCGAGAGTGACTGACTGCTGACGACTTGTCTGACTCTGACTGACAACGGCAATTACGCCACTTATGCACGTTAAAGATCTTTCTTTCGCTCTGCACAGATGCGATGGTGGTACGTTGTTTTTTACTCTTTTAGTTACACATGCAGAATTATAATATATTTGTGCGGAGAACAACAAAATTTGAGATGAAAATTATTTTTCGAAAAATAAGAGATTTAAACAGGAAACATTTCAAAATAAATACAAAAGTAGGTTATTTGAATGTTTTTGAATTTAAAATAAAATAAAAATCTTGTACTCAAAAAAACTTTTTGTTCAGTAAAAGAGGGGTAGGCCACCCGCAGGTCACGCGGGTGAAGAAAATTGCCTAAATCATTAACTGAATTGGGTTGAAGTAGGCAAATGCTTGACAGAGGGGACCTGCGGGATGCCTACCCTAAATATATTTGACCACCGGAAATGGCCATGGTAATTTTTTTGTATCTGCGCCTTCAAAAAACAAACTAAATACAACCAAAATAGAATGGATTGTAGTAAATAAAAAATAAAAATCATTGCCATATATATTAGTTTTCTACCTTAATTTTTGTTTAATTTTAAATAAATTTCCCATTAACTGAAAATATATATTCATTGTAGCATTTTAAGTTGATAGAGTAGAAAAAAATTTCACTATCCTCAAAAATTAATGTTGCAGAGTTATAAATATACAATTTGATTCTATGCTATTAAAACGAATTTATAAAATTTTTCTCATATACAAAATAATTTTTCCGGAACCTCCACATTAAAAAATACCGGAGCCAAAAATTTATTTTATATTCTGAATGGGTTTAACTATGCAGAAAAATAAGAGTTGGTTCAAGACAATTAATGTGAAATTTAACATTAGCCAAATTTAAAAATATGCTAAAGACAATCACATTAAAGAATTAAAATTCAATTTTTAAAATTATTTTTTAATATTAATTCTTTGCATAAATTTCGGCCAAATAAACTTGTTGACACATAAATTGTTTGTTTTCACCTTAATAATCTTATCAGCTGCTTATATAAAATAATTACCGCACAAAAAGCTCATAAACAGTTTCACCTATACAAAAAATTGCTCAATTCTCCATACCAATATGAAATAGTGAAAAAAGCTGCATTATTTTAGGCAGCTGGGTTAAGTATAGGGTACTCCATAGTAATTAGACTCTCTGCTCGCTCCCGTTTCCAACTAAAAGTGTCTACCTCTTCGTAATAATAATAATAGCAGCTCCAATAAAAATCCACTCAGGCTTAATTTACAATCCCCGGAATGGAGTTTGGGAAAAAATTATAATAAGTGCAGCTGATGTGGAAACGGAATGGAAATTTATAACCCGTGTTATTTGGAGAAAACTCATTTCAAAAGAGCACAAAAGCCACGCAGCGGCCAATCATAATAAATTCCGCCCCGGTGTGTTTCAATGTGTGAGTTTCGTTATTCAACCTCGCGCTCTGTGTGTGATACAACTCAATTATTTTCGTGTGTTCTCCATTGCACTATAGGTATAAATTAATTTTTAAGTATCACCTACAGGGAAATAATAGAAAATTAGTCAGGAACACATAATATATATCTCGCCTGCCATGCGCTCTCCCGTGTTGTTGTTTTTTTGTGTTCCGACGAAAATAATTGAGGGGTTTCCATCTCTCTGATTACTTTTGATATCACAATTCCCCGGCTGCATTATAAAGTTATAAATAATTTAGGACCACCTCAAAGCATCCCATTCTCTTTTCTCGGCACGAAACGCGGCGCTGTTGCGCGTTTCATACCTAAAGGCGTCAAATAAATGATGATGGCGCGTCTCTTTGTGTGTTGTTAGCCGCGCCGCTGCTGCTGCTGATATCAATTAATATCCATCTCTAGAGAGCGACGCATCCTAATTAATTTATTCCTCCTTTAACAACGCGGACGTTCAGAATGAGATGCATATCAAATTTTGATTTAGAAATACAAATGTTAAGTGAGAAAATTTAAATCAGGGAATTTAATATGCGATGACAAGATTAATTCAAGCAGAATTTCAAAATGAATATTTTAATTTTTAGATTGAATAAAACATCTTAACAATGGAAATTAGAGACTTAAAAAATTTTGACTTCAGTCATCATCCAGTTAATTGTCCAATTTGAACCTTCATAAATTTAAACAAAAAATAAAAATGTTTTCAATCGTGGTGCACTCCTTTATTACTTGCATGCACCTAAAATATTTTAGGTGAAAATTAGGGGATAACAATAAATTTAATAGTAAACAATTTATAAAATAAATAAAAATATCGTAAAACCATGAAATTTTAATTTACTTTTATAAATTAAAGTTATATGAGTATTTAAATTAACATCAAAAATTTATTGTCACCCCAACATCTGCGGTTTTTTATGTTCTCCTCTGTTATTGTGTTTTGTTTTTGTAAAATTCTTTATTTATATGGGGGTGGTGTAATTGCTTATATTTTTAAAAGTTATTCCATTTTCAATTTTTAATTTTCAGATAAATTTAACGTGTCATTACTGAGTGAGAAAAAGACCATTATGACTTCTTACGGTTAGTAATGTAAATTTTGAACTTCAAATTATTGTAAAATTCTGCCATTCAACGTTAATTTTTTCTCTTGAAAACTTCATTAAAAGGAAAAGGCGCACTGCAAAATCATCAGCAAACTAGCCGTTGTACAAGTTTTAACTCTAAAAATTAATGTTTGAAACGGTATGATATTTGAATTCCATACTTCTTCCAGCATTTCGCAATTTTTGTATTTTGATGTATTAATGGATTCAAATTTTGGAGAATAATGAATAAATAATAATTGAAAATCATTGAAAATATTGAAATTGAAAAAATAAACTTTAAAGTCTTATTATAGTATTTTGACATCCCTTACACAGATTATAAATATTAAATAATTTCATGAGTAGTGCAAATTTCATTATTTAGTTTTTTTTCTTCCCCGTCAGAATTTTGGGTCTTTGGCGAAGAATCAGAAGGATAAACAAATTACATAATATAAACTCTCTCTGCATGACCAATCATGCGTTAGAAGTGAAATAGAGAAATATTTCGGCGCAAGCAAAAATAACAATCTTTATTATTTGTTTAGTCTGCGAAACTGTGCAGGTGAGTGCAGATGCAGAAAGCTGCTTTGTGCATAAAAGTCGGGGCAGTTCATAAGTCTGTTGAGTCTATTAAAGCAGAGCGCACCGTGTGCGGGCAAAAGCTCCTTTGAGGATGTCACATCATCATCAGTCGCAGCCGCAGATTGGTTCTGGCCCCTCTAATGTGACATGCGAGCAACAGGACGACATGTGATCAACAAAAAGAGTCACACACACACACACACACAGAGCAAGTAGCAGAAGGCGGCAAATGATGCGCGGCGCTGGAGCTGCTTTTCTTCCCTGCCAAGATCAAAGGAGCCGCCGCGGCCCAAGTCTCTTGTAAACATGATGATATTAAGGAACTCCTGATGGCAACACACATAACAATAAAATAATCATCCTCGCGCACAGGCACCACCTAACTCGACTACACACGTGAAATTCCTGCATTAAAACTCGCGAGCTCTGCTTTTTTATTATTAATCTCTCTGAGTGCTGCGATGATAAAACCAAAAGACATGAAAAAAGCTCTCTCGAACGCCCTTACGTTATAATTTGAGTGTTTTTGTATATAAATCTGCTGGCCAGACTTGATTGTATACGCGATATAAATTTATTGCCCGGGGAATCTTTTGCAACACACCATGGATTCGTTAACTATTTTATGGACCTAATTAATTGGCGCGGCAAAGCAGTAATTGCCAGACCAGATTGATCCCAGTTTTAGTCGATGTTAATTAATTGAAATAAAATTTATAACATTAGAAGGAAAATCAAATTATTATAATACAATAAAAATTAATTTCAATCGAAAAAATGTCATGAAATTATAAAAAAAGACTTTTCAGGGAAAAATTTAAATTTTATATAAAAAAAACTATAAGTTCTTATTGTTAAAATTTTATCAGGTTATTAAAAAAAGGGAAATTTGATCAAAATTGTTTCAGAATCAAGAGTCCTTAAACTCTGCTTATATTAAGCTGAAGTGATTTTGATCACAAATTCAAATCTTTACAATTTTTTTACTATATCATTTGGAGAGATCATTTTGAGACATCAAACGATAGCTATGATTACCTGAATTAACTGAATTTTTGAAAATTAGTGTTTCCTTTCATGAGGATTTTCTAAAATAACATTTTGAATTGACCGAGAAGAATAAATAATAATAATAACATTCTTCTCAAAATTTGCCCGACTTAAATGAATGACAATATCATGAAAAAGCTTTATTTAGCTAGCCAAATTAAATTAAACTTTGCGCATATCTTTTCATGGGGAAAGTTTTTTCCCCTAAACCTAAAATTCTCCTATTTTGGAAAAAAACAATGATTTCTCCCAGTGTCGATTAAATACTTTAAGCTTTTAATAAACAATTTCATATTTATAAATGAAACGTTATAAAATTATCTATGCCCCATGCAAATAATGCTGAAATTTTTCAGTGTTGGAGAAATTAATGATAAAATTAAGTAATCCTTACATTTCTAGTAGAATAAACTTTCC